CTCCATGGAGGACTGGTCCAACTCTAAATAGTTCCTCTGCGAGTATTTCAGACACATGGTCTCATTGCTGGCAGCCGCCCCTACACTAAATTCTCTCTGGTGCCTGGAACAGCTGCTTATTCCTCCAGCTTGGGCCTTTGAGATGTAAATAGTGTAATCCGACTTCAAGAGGCTAGGAAATATTAGCAGAATTTAATGTAAATATTGTATAAATCATCCCAAAATAGCATGGCCTCGGGATGAGCCAAAGACACTAACTGAAAGTTATACAGACTAAGTAAATATAGACTAAATATATTCCCCTCCTGGAATTGCCACTGGAATGGATCCAGACAGGAAATAGGTTGAAATGCCGTCTTGCGGCAGTGATATTAAAAAGCCATTGGCCTGTTTGGTGACATTTATAATGTATTTTATGTACTCCATACATTTTTAATACATGCTGAGTTAAATATTATCAAATCTATAAAAAGATTATGGAAAAAACTGTCTGGTTTCATATGGGTGGACGCTGCCTGGAACTCTGTGGCTTTTGTGTAAGGGGAGCATTTGAAAGAAAACATGAAAGGGAAAAAGGAAAAAAAAAACAACCTTGCAGTGCAGTTTTTGAAAAAGAAAAAAAAAAAACCCAAAACGTTACTTGCCCATTTGGAGCCTAGAAGTCATCACACATCAAGGCAACAGAATTTCCAGGACACAAACCACAATGGGGACCAGGGAACGAGATGCATTCATTCCATCCCTTTCACACACAAGTGGAGAAATCTCAGTTGGATTGGCTAGTGTGGCTTTGTGCAGCTCCCGATTCAGTGCGGTGAAGTACAAAAGGACCGTTTTCTTGCCTTTTTAGCAAGTCCTTAGCTGCTGCTGGAGCAAACACGATTAATAGTAGTTTTGTACATGGGCACTAGAAGATAAACAGACAACCTGACTCCTAGAACAGTCCTGGAATACAGGTGCTTGACTTCATGTCCCAAGGACTGTTTTTCAAGAAGCCACTTCATCCAAAATTCTGTCCAAATTACAAACAGGACAGGATTTCCATGCCTCCCCCTCTCACACTGTGCCTAAAGAAAGCAGTAGGTGCCTATGATCCCCCCCCAGACACCCCGCATGGCTCAGCCACCCAGCAGAATTCAACCCAGAAGCTACAGGTGAATGAAGTCCAACACACCCAAAGGGAACCACGGTGGCTCTGGAATAATGCAACCTCAGACCTCTCGCTGGATCTGTTTAGATGATTTATATGCTAACATTTTCGTTATGAAAGGCTGGAGAGACACCAAGAAGGTGAGCGACTCCTGTTGTGCAATCCCTTCTCAGGAAAACTGAAACAGCTGCGGCAGATTAACTAAAACTCTCTTTCTTTGCAGAAATATCCTCAGCCTACGGGGCAGGAAAGCGATGGCGAAATGCCGAACGCAGGCTCGTACTGATCTGTACTGCATGCCCTCCTTTGCTCCCTGTGCCACTTCCTGAGTCCGAGGCAGGGGTGACCAGCCAGCCTGGACATCCCTGGACTCCTCACACGGAGCGGTTACAAGGAAAGGGGTTCCTCTGACGAAGCACGACACACAACTGCAAGTTCAAAACTCAACAGCTACGAGACTTGAACGCATCACCTTAATGTTAACCAAAGGCTGTGCAGTCCCACACATAAAGCTGCAGGAAGGAAAACGGCAAGAAAGGTCAGGGAGGAGGAGAACTCTGGATGCAGCGAGTCCCACTTCGGTTTCTTTCTGCATTCCAACATCACAGATTTTGTTGGCCTCAGTAAATGCTGTCCCAGATGCAGGAGGAGGTTATTTGCAAACTCCCACCAACCCAGGGCTTGCTGCAGTCAGTGGGAAACTGCCCTCGTTGGCAGTCAGCCCACAGTATCCTCCGGAATAGCTTTTTTCTCTGTATTTCTGGTAAGGGACTAGGCTAATTCTCCTCCTCAAGCTACACGTAGCTCGGGCGCTGTAAAGGCTGCACTTAGTGCACCCTGTCAGACTCCAACATCCCTTGCCATGAGCTCTCAGCAGAGGACGCTGATCCCTTTTACTCAAGCAGCATAAAATGACCCAACAAACCACTGCGCCCTTCACCCCTAAGTGCCGTCCAAGAACCCGAGACACGTGAGCGCAGGTCACCCATCAGCCCCCCAAGGCAGAGGAGCTCGCCAACTCACCTGCTGCCCACGTCAGCTTCCTCAGGTAACAGCAGCACAGCTCCGAGGTCTCCTGAAGGAGCACACTAGCTTGTGCCTAACTGTCGACCTCCTCTTAAAAGCGCTGGGCCCACAGCTGTAGTAGTTTAAGGTCTAATTCCTAGAAAACAACCTGGAGAGGCACTTCCCTGGCTTTGTGTTGCTTCTGCAGCTAGGCATCCGGTCCTGCGTGACTCTGCTCCATCTCCTGTGGTGGCTCAGTGGCTGAGGAGTGGGGGGACATCTGGGATCCTGGAGCTTGGGAGCCCCCATGTTTCAGTTCTCTGCTCAGATACGGAGGTGGTCTTCAGCAACTCGCTGAGCCCTGTGCAGCTCTGGTACCTCCACGGGTTGGTCCAGGGTACGCCGCAGCCTGGAGGACCCAGGACCTAACAGAGTTTTATGCGTGGCCGTAGTATGTGGGTATCCCACGTGCTCATTTCTGACACCGAGTACCTGCTACTTCTAAGGCAATTTTGGGATGTCCCCCACTGTAGATTGCTCCCAGGTCTCAGACCGCGATACTTCAGGGCAAAGGCTGCAGCAGAAGTTAAAATTGCCCAGTGCCTGGAAGCCGGTAAGTAAATCCAGGTGGTGGGTCTCAAAGGAATTAAAGTTCTACTTGTTAAGAAACGCTGTGAGCTTAACAGGAAGTGTGCCAGTGCAAGCTCTGTGAAACACAGAAGAAAGGGAACCATTTATTTGGGAAATCCAGCTCACAGTGTGCTGGGTAGGTCCTAAGCTCCTGCTCTAGAGAACAGACCTCTTATCTGAACAGAAGGAAATGATGATGTACATCGGGAACAGCAAGATTTTATTACAGAACTGGAAAACAGAATAGCACCTTGATTTGTTTTTTGTTTCTCTGAAGCAGAGGAGACATCAGACCTTTTTACTATTCGGTGTTGGACTGATTTATTTTACCCTGCTTGAACAAACTTAAGCTGGTTTTCAGTTTTTGATTTCTGAAATACTTATTCTGTTTGCTTTTCAGGTATTTCATAGTAGATTTTCTTACTATTAGGTATTTCTTCTTAACGATGGCTCCTATGAAGTGCCTTCCAAATTAAATCCAGCAGAATGATAGGCTTTGAGACACAGCAAAATTGAAGAATATGATAATCAGTCACCAAAATCTAATTTCTCCTTTATCTGGGCTTGCTGCATTCAAGTGGATAGAATTTAGCCTTATGCCACAAACCCACAGGCTACTTTTTATGTAAAAATCTGCCTCATTTGGCAAAACACTGAATTTCACCATTAGAATGGATTAATTTGAAGAGTGTTTCTAGAGGATGGAGGTTGAAGACTCGGTATCAGAGCACTGACATGAGACCATTTTGCCATTCGCTTCAGTGGTCAGACAGAGTCGGTAATGAAAATAACTCCTCATCAACACATTCCCCACAACAGCTTTTGGTACCAGGTAGCGCTGTGTACGGAGTGTCTAGAATGAGCGAAGGCAGAACTCATTTATATACAGATCTCTTCAATCTCTGGTCAAGTAGATCAGGGAACCAGAACAGCGAGGGAAAAGCAAACGGAGGAAGTAATGAAGTGCTTTTTCTTCTTTTAAAATTACATTCTGCCTAAGAATCAAATATAGCCACAAAATCAAAATGAAAAATGTTGTTTCTTCTCCCTTCTGCGCTAAGCTTTCCATGAAGTCTTTCATCAAAAGACTCATGCCTAAACCAGATGTGTACCTCATTGTTGGAACTTCATCTAAAACCTCGCACCAGTTCTCTCCAGAGATCACCTCCGACCCAGGGAAAGGTGTAATTCATCACAACTCGGCTTGACTTTATCTGCAAAGCAGCCAAAAGTGTGTGCTGGGTGGGATTTTTCACCATCAACGCCCTGGGTTGAGCCAAGAAAGGGTTCCAAAGGCTGATGCGTGAACCGCTGGGCCGGGACGAGCACTGATTAAAACTCGGTCACCGCGTTCCCAGCGCTGCCACCGCCGTTCCACAAACTGTACCCATCATTTCCCGTGGGTGTCCGAGCCACACCAGCGCCTGTACGCTCCCTGAGGCTGGCTGACACAAACTAAAGCTGTGCATCCCTGATTACTCCCGAATCAAAGGCAACCAGTTCTTCAGAACTGCCCCAACCGCCAAGCGCAGGCTGTTGCTCTCTTAGGTCTGTTTTCAGCTGCCTGAGCACTGGGAAAAGGAATTTGACCAGAGCAACGATGTAGCACACAAACTTCTGGAGCACTCAGTGTTCTCAGAAATGTAAATAACACATGAAACACCACATGGGATATGTAAGCTGCTTTAATAATAATAAATTTATTAAGTGGCAAGAAGCCACTCTGCTTTGTAAACCGATTTTACTCAATCACAGTCCCTCTGGTTTTTTTCCTCATTAAACATGAATACATTCTGTAATTTGTACGTGAAAGATTTATGTAGAGATACGTTCTGGACCACTCTTGCTGATTTTACTGGTCAGAAAAACATTAAACATGCGGGAACAGCACCTTAATAAAACTATAGGCCTTTTCTCATTACACCTCCTTTGCTGCTAAGCTACACTGTCACTGAACAAGCCAAGTCTAGAGGTCTTTTTCCTCCTCCTGTGTTCCAAACTGTAGTGGGGCTGGCAGAAATGTCTCCTAAAACCTCCCATATAACAAGAAATTCAGAAGGCTTTGTAAGCAATAACTGCAGTTGCTTCTTCAGACTAGAGAGAGCTTCTCATGCATCAATGCACTTAGTTAGGGTTTGCGAGGAGCTCAGAGGAGGATGCGCCCTCTTCCTGAAACAGTTAGTTGAGCCTGGACTCTGCACCACTGGTATTGTTCAGCAACTGTGTGCACCAATAATTTAAAAAAAAACTCAAGAAATCAGGCTGTTTTTATCAGAGACAATGATAGTAAAAAAAAAAATGGCCATTTCCAACGTGTGACATTTTCATTGCTTGAGAATGAATCAGTGCAAAGTGAGGTAACCCCCGCACCCCGTCACGCAGGGCCAGGACACGTTAAACCAGGCGCCGCCTTTTGGAATCCCTCTCCATATCTTCGGCAGGAGAGTCTCCATTGCACCCTAGAGGGGACACCATGTTAAGCAAAGGATCTTCAGATGCTCCTCCAAACAGGGACAGCAACAAAGCTACGCCATAGCCAGTGGCTCGTTCACCCTAGAAAAACAAAAGCACAAACCACACAAGAGTTGGATCTTCTGAATCGCGTTTTACCCTATCGACTCACGCCGGCAGCGATGGCTCACAGCCACGGCGAACGCTCGCTGGCAGGCCTGCTCAGCTTGGGCCCTGGTAGCCTCACTGCTGTTGGCATGTCTCTATTCAGGCAGCTGTTGGTTAGGGGAAACCAACAGTCCGGCTGATTCACATGAGAACGGAGCTCACACTGCTCCAGGGTGGATTTACACCACCATTGTTGGGTTAAAAAAAAAAAAAGGAGATGGGGGAGGAGATTGGCTTGGGTTTTAGGGAGAAAGAATATACACGAGTTCCAAAAGCAGGAGGCGAAACCTTCGAGAGGAAACATTTGTTTTCTCTGCTGCAGGTCAGCAGGCAGGATGATCAACCCTGGTCAATCACTGTAAAACAATACGGGTGAAAATGGCAGGCTGGGGTTGCTGCCATGACCCGAATGTGGCCAAGCTGTTGAGGTTTACAGTGATAAAAGATGTTGCTGACTAAAGTAACCGTTAGAATATTCTAAAACCAAAATGAAAAATATGATGAAGCTAACAAAGAAATTCCCAAAACAAACGACGAGTCAATACTCTTCAAAAGTACTCTTCTCCACCCAATTCTCTCACTTTGAACTTGATGGCACAGAATTCAGAGTATCTGCAGACACAAGCAGTTTTCTTTACCCAGCTTGCTTGCCCAGGAAGAGCACGGAGAGGGTAGTGAGGCACTGGAACAGGTTGCCCAGAGATGTTGTGGAGGCCCCATCCCTGGATGTCTTCAAGGCCAGGCTGGATGAGGCTTGGAGCAACCTGGTCTAGTGCAAGGTGTCCCTGCCCATGGCAGGGGGGTTGGAACTAGATGATCTTTAAGGTCCCTTCCCACCCTAACCATTCTGTGATTCTATGAAGATGTCAGAAGTCCTGTGAACATACTCACCGCATGAACAGGCGCAGCAATGTCTATATGGACCCAGACCCCAGGCCAGTCGAAGCCAATGTGAGAAGCAATGAAGAGCCCCGCGCAGGAGCTTGGAGTATTGTCTCGATCCTGGAGAAGTAATAAAAATTGTTGAAAAAAAAAATGGTCTTGCAAGAAAAGAAAGCGTCAGTGTTTTATTCTGGCCTACAGAAAAGACAGTTGTGCAAATCTAGTTCAGAGCTTAATGAATGGCCCCCAAAGTTGGTCTTGCAAACAAACTACACTGTAAATCCTTTAACTCAATCTCTGCTAGCAGTCCAGCCCTGCCCAATTCCTCTTCTGCCCAAGTTCCTTTCTGCAGTCTTTTCAGAACTAGCACACACTGTCACTTTCAAACACAGCAAAAGCAGCTGCAGCCATCCCCGAGGCCTCTGCCCTCAATTTCCTGGTGTCTGAGTTCCCAGTCACTGTCTTTGTTGGTGATACACGATCTAAGGAATGCTCGTCTTCTTAAACAGTCTGCATCCAGGAATTTAGCATTCTTCTTAGGGCCACGCTTAAACGGCAAGCAGCCCAAAGAGACCTTTGCAGCAGGCTACCCTGTTTACAACTGACATTAAATACAGTGTAGTGACACAGCCTGCAAAATCCCTGGGTTAAAGGCCCTGAAGACCGTAATTATATGGCCAATTTCGAACAGATTACAGCCCTCGTGAAGAGCTTTCAGCCAGCTATCAACGGGCCAGCACATTATCTAGAAAACACACATTTTCATGTAACAAATGAAATTTAAAGGAAAAAAAAAAATCTTACTGCCACAGAGTTCTTCATATCAGCTACAGCAGAGGTAAATTCACTGAAGTGGAGCTCAGGGCAATACACAAGAGGATGAACCAAATCTCCACAGTTCCTGCCAGCTTTAACACAAGCCTTTTCCCACTCTTCGCTGTTGGTAAGGACAGCAGCATGATACTTTCCTGTAGCAATTCCCTAGCGAGGTACAAGACAAAATCAGGAAGGATTCATCTTACCTGCGCCACGCAGGATAATTCTGCACCACTCCCCCTCAGCACTAACAGCTGCTTTTCATCTAACAAAAACACCAAGTAAGTAAGTCTCAAAACTACTCCACAAGAAGGTAGTGTTAGAAATGCAGACAAAGACACTGTAGCTACTGCTGAATCTTACAATTTCTGAAATTCCATTCTGCAGTGAAACAGTCTGCATTTGTCCGGCCTATTCAAACCACTGTCCCACAAAAATATCTCTTTATAGTTACTGGGCAAGCAAACTGTATCACTTTACAATTATTTATCCTTGGAAGTAAAATGAAAGCAGCAGTTAATTCTGAATAAAACATCTAACACACAGACAATACCCCAGCAAGGTGTGTCAATCACACAAATAGTCTGAACATGATATCCTCATTCACCGGAAAGGTTGCATCCTTCCAAATATACACAACCCATCACATCAGTTTTCCTGTAGGTCAGTGATGGGAAACTTTTAAAGGATTGATGTTTACACCAATGTATGCAACATCGATGCTTCTGAAGTGTGCCACCATTTCTCCTCCTGATACGAAGACCAATTAATTTCTAGAAAATTAGACCAGAAGAATCACTGCTCACCAATATAACCTTCTATAAAACAGGAAGAGACTTCCAAAAATATTAGCATTAAACATGTACCTTTGTGTCATTCTGTGCATGATTTACAGTGTAAGCCATTTTATGGACAAGAACATTTCTCATCACAATTATCAAATCAGTTTTGCTGATTATAAAGCTACTGAATTGCAGACATTGAATACTGCATCGCTTACGTCAGCTGCTAATGTCATCAGAAGAATTCCATTTTTAATTCAAGTATGTGAGAGCATAAAAGTTGCAAAAAGAACAAAAAAACCCCTGCTTGAGTAATGCAGTTATAGATGTAACACACTCACTGCACAGCACAGAGAGAGTTACAGTTCACTGGGGTTGCTGTTGGCAACATTCTTTTGCCCAAATTTTGGAAACCACCGTCTATAATAGTTCACAGTATCCACCTTCCACCAAAGACTGGTGGGACGGAGGCACAGAAGTGTATGATGTGCAAGCAGCAAAAGGATGCAGCCCTGTCCACCAGCAGTATGCATCAGTACCTGAGCTCCAGTAAGAGTGGCCATATCCAGAATGATATCCGCTCCCAGATCTTTGCATGCATAAGCTACTCCATCAGCCAGTATCAGTCTACCTTCTGCATCAGTGTTATTGATTTCCACAGTTCTAGGAAGAAGAGAGGGCATTTAATACAACACTGCTTCAGGCTGGAAGTTAAGACTCATCTGTCTGGACTAGAACACTGGATGAGAAAGCAGACTCAAACCTAAGGTGCTTTCCTTTTTGGGTATTAGGAGAAACTTCTTCACCAAAAGGGTTGTCAGGTGTTGGAACAGGCTGCCCAGGGAAGGGGTGGAGTCATCACCCCGGGAGGGATTTGAAAGACGTGTAGACGTGGTGCTTAGGGACATTGTTTAGGGTTGGCTTGGCAATGCTGGGTTAATGGTTGGAATTGATGACCTTAAAGGTCTTTCCAACCAAAACAACTGTATGATTCTATGATTCTCACTTAACTCTGCAAGTCTGTATGGCTGCTTATCATCCAGCTGCAAGCATCCGACAGAGCACACGTGGAAAAGGGTTAAAAGAGTACTGTCCTGATGGTTGGGTCTGCCTGTGGGGCTTGTATAATGCCTAACATGTTGAGCTGGGATTTTACAAACTGCTGCCATACCAAGAGGTACCATACTCTGCTTAAGGCAAGAAGAGATGCTTACGCAGTGGTAGCCTGCCTCTGCAACTGAGAGACCATTGACACAGAAAACTGGTTGTACTGGGAAAAACACCTCAATCTGAGTGCTTTAAGGAAACTTCAGCTCATGATACATGATAGGCATTTTGATGGGTATTTACATCCCCAACAGGAAACTCTACACACACTTGAAACCCACTACAATGGCTGTCTGACATACTATTATCAGTATTTAGGGAAGGCTAATGAGGGACAGCTTCACAATCTGCATTGTACTTTGACAAACAGGATCAAAGATGCTGCTTCCTTTCATTGCTTCTCTGAAAAGGCTAGACACAATCTTACTTTCCAGAGTAAAGAACATGAATGTCATCAGGTCTCGTTGCACGTGGTCCGACTGCATTCTCAGCCAAACAAAAAACAGCATGAAGATTGTCTTTAAAACCCTGTAACAACAATAGGAGAGAAATGGCTTTTGATTCACCTCAAGCTAATTTATTGGGACTGAAATCAATGAAGGATTACACTTCTTAACTGTGCTGCCACTAATTACTGTGAGGAATGTCTTATCTCTTGAAGCTGAGGCCAAGAGCTATGGAAAGGAGGTGAAGAGGTAGCATCTAATACTGGTTTTAGAGTTCTCACTGGGGAGTGAATAAAAGCCTAATACGCATGTGACAGACAAATGGGGAAGGGAGCTAGAAATCTCTTGTCAATTAAGCAATGATCAGTACAATCTTCTCTCAGTGGCAAGGTATCCAAATTAAACCACCTTTTATACTCAGTGTGCAGATGCAGCTGGAGGGGGTCATGTTTAGTCAAACCCAATTCCCTGGGAAGAGCATGTTTAGCTCCTTACAGCCAGCTCCAGGAAGATGAATATCTCTCCAAAGATGCAACGCTTCACTCATCTACTTTTCATACAACTCTGGCAGACTGTGACTGGGGCAATCCTGGAACGTGGTGGTACTCTGTTTCTCAGTGGCTCCCCCAGCTGCCAACAACACAGCTCACTGCCCTTCAGCATCCTACCCACACCACAGGTCAGATATACCCTACCAGGATCTATCCTTCCTCTTTCCATGTAAAACCAAAAATATTCATGGCTAAGACAAATTTGGGTTTGGGGTGTTGTTTTTTTTTTTTTTTTGGGTGGGTGGATGGTTTTTTTTTAATGTATCAATTCTGCTGGGATGCACGTGGCGTTTTCAAGCTTTTTTTTTCTCCTCAGCCTCCTCTATTCGGGCATATCCCTTCTGATTTACTTTGGTACTCAAGTGCTTCTGTGGTTATGAATATTTTAAAATGTATGACGATTTTGTTATTTATACAATGGCTGTGTTGTGTTTGAGGGATCCTAGGAACACAAAGGGGGACAGCAGCATGTAACAAATAAAAACGTAGTTCCTCCTCAACTGGGGTAGCTATCCTTAAAACCACCAAATTTCTAGGGAAACCAGGGTCAGTTTTACTGTTAATCTCTTGATAAAAGTCCATAGCTGAACAAATCTGGACTTGCTAAATCAGCTCACGTTCTGTGGTCTAGAGGGCAAACACATCAATCAAAACCTTTCAAAATAACGGGCAGCACCTAGGAGCCATCAAGTAAAACTGCAATTTCTAGCGAGCCAGTGGGCAAACAGGACTGTTGATGAGATAACCTTCCACCTTCTTGCTCTCTCCCCACCGTCTGTGCAGCAAAAACCCGGCTCTATTCACAGTCTCACTGGACTGCATCAAATTTTTCTCTTCCTGTCAAAAAGTGAAAACCCGCTTCCAGTATCAGCTGCCTTTTCCTGAATCGCACTGTCTGTAGCTCTTTAAAAGCAGGATTCACTATGCTAACATGCAGGAACAAGGAGGATTTAAAAAATGTCAAAGAATGTTTTTCTCTCCTCATGTTGGAAAGCTCACAATGGATGAGATGCATCTATCTAGGAAAAATCACTTGCTTAACACTGCTATGCAAAGCCTTTTTAAATCACATCGTGAAACCGCTGAGCAGCACGTAGGCAGATATTTTATGAAGATGGATAATAACCTCTGCCCCTCTTCCCACAAGTGCCAAACCCAGCACACTAACACGTTTCCAACTTCCATCTCTGTGACAAAGCACAGCTAATTTAAACCCCTTCCAGCTTTGTATTATTCTTAAGAGCATTAAAAAAAAAAGGTCTTGAAACAGTAACAATTCTTTCCACTGCCTATCTGAATGCATTTTCTGTAGGGATTTCATGAACAGGTCGTCTTACATGAGGTTGTAAAATGAAGCAGTGAGATCATTCTTTTGTTTTCACATATAGAGGCACAGATCTCTTGTGAGGTACGACAGCTTCTTCAGGCTCAGTTTGTCCAAACATCCTGCTGCTGGTTTACTCATTGTTACAGTAATTGGGTATGAAATGACAGATCCCTCACGTTCACACCTGCTGCGACTGTCAACGCAACTTCTCTCAGTGCAGATTATCACACACAAAACTACTTCAGAAACAGGGACTGAATCACTGAAACAAGGCACCACATCCCTGCCTTTCCCAGACACTCCCAAAGCACTAAGTTCCAGCTCCTGCTCCCTGCAAACGTGAGCTCTAACTTTCTGAAGGACTTAGGCAAAATGACTAGCTTCGCATAACCTAAGACGCAGCTCACAAATCTGTTTTCAATTTTAAGTCTCTGCAGATAACTGTAAATTTACAATCTTTCCACATCAAACATGCTGCTAGGGCCAAGGCACAGAGCTAAACTGTTGAGAAATGGGAATTTGGCACTGATCATCCCCTGGACAAAGCTTCTGTCAGGTCTATGCATTAATCTGCAGCAGTAAATGCTCTTTGAACTTTGGATACTCCTTGGAGGCAATAGCTGCTCTGTCAGCAAGACTCAGTCACTAGATTTGCGGAAAGGGCAGAGTTTTATTGGCAGCAGCCACTTCTTTTCCCCAATTCACATTGTTAAAGAGCAATATGCATTTTTTTAATTCTTCATATTTCAATACCTGGCTTCCTCTAAGCTCCCTTACTACTTTCTGACCACAGGAGCAAACCAACAAGCAGCTCCTGATGAGACTAGAGCTGCCACTTCCCCAGTAGGTTAATATTAGAACTGGCATGGGATTTGGAATATGGACAGACTTCATATCCCAGAGTCACCCATCCCCTTCTTTGCTAAGGGGACGACAGCTGCCCTAAATCCCACAGCTTAAACAAAATCAGCACTCGGGTATAAATCTGATTCAAGGAACTAGAAACCACTCAGTCCACAGAAAACCTTGAAATTCAAGAAAGACTCTTAAAAAAAGTTAGCACTCAAAGAATTTCTCACAATTCTCAAGACCCCAGTAAAGATCTGAAATATTTTCCTGAAATAGCAGAAAGAACAGAGTGGATCAAGATCACTAATAGCCAGAACTTCAGGATTAGACTGGCCCCATTATCTGGGAATGTCTCCAAAAGCCAGACTGCTCCTTGGCAATGCTGGGATACATGATATCAATTAACACATTTTACTTACTTGCTTTACAGTGGCTTTGAAGGCACCCAAAATAGCAGCTGCTCCACCACAGTCTCGTTTCATTCCAGGCATAGTAGTCTGTTTAAACAGAACCATAGAGTTTTTTTGGTTGGGTGTTTGGGGGATTTTTCAGTTTAAAAGAGAATTTCACTTAATGCCTGCTAAAACTACTATTTCTGATGCTTCTCTAACTCCTGCCTTGACAGTGCTCAGCAGTAATGGAACACGTGCATCTGCTTACTGGTGGATCTTGCCTTACAACTAGAAAATACGAAGCCTCTGCTGCTAAATTGTTAGAAAAGTAAAAAAAAGAAAAGAAAAACGTTGCTTACAGGGTTTGTACTGAGGCCAACTCAAATGGGTTTTGGACATGTCTCCAAAATCAGAAATTAAACATGTTTGTTTCTTGCTTCCTCCTAGCAGCGGGCAATATTTAAATAGCTACCTGATATTTTGCCCTTTAAGTGCTCTGCAAAATGTTCCTTCAATCCTAACTGGTCTTCTCCCCTGTGTCCATATGGATGACAGTAGATCAAGTGCTTACTCAAATCAATAAACGTCGGTTTCCTACAGACATTAACTGAATCGTTTCCATCAGAAAACAACACTAAGCAAAGGCAGCAGGAGAACAAGTGGTTTTGTACCTTTCCCTTAATGCTGAGTCCTCCAGTGTCATACACAATACCTTTGCCCACCCATGCGATGGTCTGTGTAGCACCATCTGGAGTGTGGCTGAGAACTGCCAGGGCCGGAGGATGCAGAGCTGCCTTGCCAACTCCGTAAATACCTGGAAAAGAGAATTAAACCACTGTGGGGAAGAAAGACTCTGGGGAGCGAACTGTGGCTATCTTCTGTAAAACATCTTGGAATACTATGGGCAATCAAACTGTTTCCAAAACATGCAAATAAAACATTGCAATGGAGATGGCAAATCATTCCAATTAACTGCTAGGGAAAAAGCTGGATTTTCAACAAGATATACCTCCAAAGCCTCTCTCTTTCAGCTCCTCATCCCGAATAATGGTAGGAGTAATCCCAAGATCCTTGCCAACTTTTTTGATTTCCTTAATCATTAAAAGAAAAAGGACATTGTCAGTCATCAGAAGGACACATTTGTGTCTTTCCACACTTATGGGTACCCACATAAGGGTTTTGCGTGACTTTTGCAGGCATACACATACAAACATTCACAATTTTGGGAGTGGTGCTGGTTTTCCAATGGCCTAATCCCACTGAGAGATCCTTGACTTACTATGGCATGAAACACAAATCTGACCTTTAAGCTTCGCCAATAAAAGAAATCTTCAGAGGTAAAGGCCAGCTGTTCACTCCGTCTGATCATGATGCAATAGGACAGGAATATTTTCATTCTCAACAACTTTCCAGGTCTTTATGATAAAATTCATTTGGAAACATGTCAATTTCTGCCTCATAATTTGAGAAACCCTTATCAGCATCATGCTTCAGACAACACTAGGACTGGCAAAGCCTGCAGTGTCAGTGACAGAATCAAGAACTCATGTCTTCTGACTCTCAGTGCCTCACCCCAAGCTGTACACTCTGCCTCCTTCCAACTTAGCGCAATTCTACGAAATAATAAAGGCCAAAGAAACAGCCTCAGCATCCTTGCACAGGCTCTTTGATGTGCTTCCCACTGCTGACATACCGGTTTTGCTAAGAGATAGCAACACTACTTCTGTAGTCTAGACTTACAATTAGTAAGTCTTACTCATCAGGTGTTATTACCTACCTCCAGGAAGTTATCTGTGTTCATCTCATTGCATGGGGTGTCCACGATTCGAGCAGCCAGCCTGACTCCTTCCGTAGCACTTGCCAGACACTATGAAAAGAGGTGAGGACACCTGAAAACTGGCCTTGGTTTGGCTGGTTTTCTGCACAGCTTTGCATTTAGTCCTATGCAGCCTACACCAGATGTGTGGTTCCTCTAGAGCACATTAATGCTTAACTGGAATCAGTCATAGGCAGTTGTAGAGTATTAAATAACGTCAACCAAGCTAACCATTATTTTTTGTATTTGTCATGCCTAAATTATTTGTCCCTATGCTCTTAATTTCTAAGCAACTGTATTCCTTCCCACAGTGAACTGATATTGCAAAATTAGTAGCCTTCTTCACTGTCAAAGCGAGACAAAGAAGGTAATGTGAGATGGAGGAAAGATAAAAGGAAGCCAGTTCAGGAAGTCCCAATGAGCTTGTCGGCTGCTTGGGTTGGAAACCTGCAGAGATGACAACCTACAACATGAGAAGCCACAAAGTTTCTATGTGGCAAGCAGAACGGCTGAGTGCAATGACGATTGCTACCATACGACATTCTATATGGCAGGCCCATGGGGAATATGGAGTATTTTATATTGGTGTAAAACCTGCATGCATCTGTTTCCTTATTCCTGTGGCAAAATGGACTGACCCACACCTGGACTGACCCTCACCTGCACGGAGCTAAACTTATCTAAGCAAGGGTGGACAGAACCAAGAGACCACAGCAAGCATGCCGAGGCTGCTTCCTTAAAGAGGGATCCTCCTGGCAAAAAGGACAATGAGAGCAGCAGACACTGAACTTCAACTTTTAGCTCCTGTGAATCGACAACTTGAAACAGAAAGACCAGGTGGAAGGAAATTTGTTCAAGCCACACTACACTGAAGACCACACGCAGCAGTCGGGTGGGTCAAGGTGGGTTTCAAAGAAATCTGATGTGTTGTACAGTCATTCATGCTGAGGCATCTGCAGTTTGGCTTGGCCAGACTGGCCTAAGAACTCTAGGCATTCCGTATCCCAGCAGACTCATAAACCTTGGCTTGCTCTGGAACGGTGCCCAATTCCTTACAATTACTTTTGATTGCTTTACTTCCCCTAAAGGGGTAAGGACCTCCTCAGGAGCCAAGCTAGGTTTGGAGTGACTCACCATCAAGGCCATGCAGGTAAATGGAGGTGCTGTAACCCAAAGGTCAAGTCTGAGGGAAACAGTATGACTTATAAAAATAAGCTGTGCCTGGGTTTGGCATCCAGGGTACTCAAGAGAACCTCAATACTGGCAGCCTGTAGTAAGTGCCTTGAAAAACTGCGACAATCCCTGCTAGTCCTCACCTACCCTGGACAATGCAGTAAGTGCAAAATACAGCAACATACCAAGGGAAAGGTTTAGCTACAACAATCCTACCAAATGCCGCTTCCGTGCTCCACATGAGCTATCTGGTGCTAGTTGAATTTAAGGGGTGAAAGCTTGGCTTGGAGAAAGCCAGTAATAGCTTTGGCATTGACTTCAAGGGGAAGAACAGGAGTCAGAAATCATTTCAGCTTTTTTTTTTTTCAGTTATAAATAACACAAGTGGTTTGGAATCTACCTATCTGCAGGAACTGTTTTTAACACCATTTTTATGCTTTTTCTGATTTGGGGCACGGAAAAACGGAGTGATTGACAGTTGTACTCATAGCACGTCTGTCTTTGTCACTTAGCTGAAAACTGGCCTGGCATCATTTGCTGTGGCCAATTCAGCGCGTAGGGTAAGGACAAAGTGTGGAGGAAAAGATACTGGAAGAAAAAAAAAACCACCACTACAGCTGCAATTCTGTGAATTTCAGATACAGCAACACTGTCTCCTTGAAGTTCTTTCTGCGAAAATTATCTATCACAGAATCTCCTTTGTCAAATCCATTGCCAAAATTGTGGAGTGATTTGTATAACCTCACTGATTGATCAGCTGAGTGAGCGTCCATCTGTACTGAAGCATAGAACAGGGACTTGCCTAACAGTCCAAGTGCAAACCTTGGAATAGCTTTGAAGTTAGGATCGAGAAAAGGAATGACCTAGCACACTGAAAGTTACCTGACGTGGAGTTTGCTCTCTGTAACAGTCAGGTGCAAGGGAAACAGTCTGATTACCCCCTGTTGAAAGATGACTTAGACATACTTAACTCTTATGTATAGCTCATCTCCGAGCTGTATCATTTCTTAGGGTCTTGTTTCTGGCTACAGTTCTGCTAGAAAAACTCAGCCAAAGAGATACATCAGACAGAAATAGCACAGCCCATATGTGATCCCAGAATAAGTAATTTCCAGTGACTTCACTGTGATATTCACCAGCACAGCCACATGCAGATTTTGCCCAGGTAAAGGAAAGTGAGAAGCCCCCACACACAAGGCAATGAAATATTAACAGCTAAAAATATACTATTTGCATCTATGCTAAACATAAGAGAAATTTTCTTTGTGATACTTGTTTGGCGTTTTCTGAGTAACATCTTCAGCCTTTGCTGCAGTAGTACGTTCAAAGTTTCTACTCAGGGGTGTTGTGAACTGATCAATTCCAAGGAACTCTGACCTTGGATAATTTATTACTTTAGATGCAACACCTATTCCACATGTGGCCTCAGACAGAGGTACCTGTGCATGCAACAAACTGAAGAAATAAAAATTTCAGGGAATAATGGAAACGATAACTGAAAAAACCAAAAATCTTACTTTAAGTGTTGCCACTTCTATTGGTCCATTGTTTTGTCCAACAAGGAAAAACTCTACCGTTACAGTTTTCTTCTCTGTGCGTCTCGATGCACTGGACCGATGTGTGAACAACGGGAAAGCCCTGGCCAAGGCGCAGGCAGAAGCGAAGACTTCAGACCGCTCACAGACCATCTGAAACACCAGCCAGAAGGCAAACAAGTCAGACAACATCAGGGATGTGGAAGGCTACGTTTAAAAGGATCTGTAACCTGTCATTGGTGAAGAGGGGTTGGGAAAAAAAAGTCTGATTCAACAGACTCCTACATCCCGTCCTGCATGGATGGAGCGGCAGTATGAACAGCATCACACTGAACTGGTTCAGTTAATTTCCCACGTGGAAATTAATTACACTGCTGGACTTCACTGTGTGGGAATTAGTTTCTTACAAGGGAGCTGGACTACTTTAATTATAATAGTGCAATTAACACAGGCTGGCCTACAGATCAAGGAAAAAAGCACAGGAATCATCAGTGTGTGCTCAAAACAAATACAGAAATGACATGAGAATGCAGCTAATATTAACCCAAACCTTCTAAACATGTAGAATATTTTTCTGAAGTTCGTTACAGAAATTACCAATGAAAAGCAGTTTGAGGTAAACATTTTCAAAGTTAACTACATAGAGTTACTACTCTGGCAAGTAAGTTTTCCCTCTAAAGAGTATAATTAGATTTTGTTACTGACACCGACTACGTGAGCTTTTGCCAACCACCTAGAAATCTGAATTAATCTGGAGGAGCCATAGAAACCAAAATACAAATTCATCAGGCTCATACAGAAGATGACCAAAGCAGTCCAAGTGCAAAGGACTCACACTGGAGCATTATTTTGCATTAAGACTCCTAAAACTCACCCGAGTAACCCAAGGCAGGCACCTTCAATGGGTTAAGCGATACAGACACAGCAGCCTGCGTGCAGGCTACGTCAATCTTCCAAAGCACGTGCTGATGTCATAAATCTCAGTTTGAAAAATGCCAGTACCAGCTCCCTTTGCATGGACATTCCCAGCTGAAGAAATTCCATACATACCCAGCCTTCACTCCAACTGCTTGAGCACGCATAAGCTACTGTAGTTACGTCTTGTTTACGCGACAGTGCAAAACCACTTATAGATGTCGGTATCATCATACTGATAAAACCTGCCCACCTCCAGTCTCCTTGGATACAGCTAAAACCCTGAAAAGTTGAGAAAATACTAGACGTTTCACCAGAAGCATTTTGAAACTGCCACTTACAACAATACATCTGTTGACACCTCCTGGAAGGCAATTTCTAACCAGGCGGGTGATGAACTGAGCTGCAGATGGACTATTGTGCCGGCTGACCCTGGAAGGCAAAGCGGCCACAGTGGCGTAATTCAGGTAGAGAGGACAGCTGTCCGTGGGGTTTGGATTCAGAGTGCTTAAAGCGGATTGCCATATCTGGGGAGAAAAGAAGAATTTAAAGACAAAGAACTGTCTTTCCATCTCATTCCCACTATACTGAGGCACTCCTTAATTACAGGTTTGTAGGTGTTGGAAACGAAGTTGTGCGCACACTTTTAAATGCAATAACCTCCAGAGCGAAAAGAAACATGAAATACCATGAACCTGTTTATTAAGCAGAAAATATAAACATGCTTTCCGTTACAAGCATCCCTTTTAAGCCGCAGGAATTACAATTTAAAACCTCACCACGCAGTGCAAAGGCTGCCCCGGCGCTTTTGTAAGTTAGAGTTTTCCTAGTGATACATAGACGGATTGATTTACTAGTCCTGAGTTATTGTTTCACATAACGATTTAATTAAAAAACATCCCCAAAAAGGCGGCAAAATACTGCCGGAAGAGACTTGGGAGTCCAGCAGAAACACCCTGCGACCTAAAAGCCACGACGCAAAACATTTATCATTTAACCACAAGCCGTCAGCACCAGCTAAATAAAAATAGGTCCGCGTATCCCACGGCGGCAGCTGGAAGCAGGGGAGGGGGGAGCGCCGGGAGCCAGGCTCTGCCTCCCGCGGGCCATCTGGCACCGAGAACGGCAGTGTCGGTCCCGTGTGAACTGCAGACACCCCCGGGCACCGCAGGGGAAGGCAAAGCGACTCCCACCCGGAGGGGTGGCCGAGGGGGTGGGAGCGA